TTGGAGCGAGACATCAGAAAAAAAATGACATGGAAGGATAGAATAGATTGTTCAAATGCACTTTAATGGGGACTGATTCTTTCCTGATGTTGTTCATTCCTTTCCCTGTTTGCCGCTTCCATCTTCTTTTCCTCTGCCTCTAAAATGGGGATGAAACACCTACATCAGAGAAGATTAGAACAGCACATGAAGAGTTTAGCAAAACCCTTAACACAGTATCATAATCCAACAATGTTCCCGTCCTTCGCCCTTGAAAATAAAGCTGGCGAGAAGTAAAATCTGTGTGGGCGAAACGTTGAAGCGTTGTCGCGGGCTGGGATCTCCAGCTTAGGAACAGTGAAGTCGCTCTGAGAAATGTCTGCAGGGAGCTTGAGGGATGTCCACCTGGGGGTCACACCTGTGGAAGGGAGGGGGGGACACAGGACTGGGCGGAGGGAGGTGACCTGCCATGCAGGACCAGCGGCAGCCGGAGTCACGTGAGCCGGAATGGCCTTCCGAGCTGTGCCAGGTTGTAGTGGGGGCCTCGCCCTCATTCTCCCACCCGGCCAGTCACCGCATGCCAGCCCCTCTGGGAGGAGGGCACAGCCGTGGGCAGAGCAGCTCTGCCCACGAAGGCAACCCCAGAGACCCCGGCACTCTCAGCAGCTGGGAGAATAGTGTCCATGTCTGAAGCAGGTCTTGGTGCTACCTCGCAGCTCATGTTTCGTGCCCTGGTTCAAGCAGGAGGAAGGACAGCCCCTGGGAGAGCTGTCCTCTTAGTCGCCCGGGACGGCAGTATCGGCTCAGGTGCCACGTGTAAGATGTCAGGAACGAATTCATCTGATTTCTGTAGCTTCTGATCTTTCAAAGTCACTTAGGCCAGAGGGAGTGGTATGACATGTCTCGAGGCCTGACCACACGAACGGGACCCTGTTTGTAAGTGTGCTTGTGTCTGGGCGTCTCAGGTGTGCCTGCCAGGTGTGCGAGGCCTGCAGGTGCAGGTTGTGACCAGAATGGAGGCGGAGCTCACATGCACAAGAGGTCCTAGGACGAGAAGATGGAGCACAGTGTTTAATTTTCAGCGTCAGAGCAGGGCTCTGGAGTGACCACCCCGCCTTCTCTTGATTTTTTTGTTTTTAATCAGTCTTCCTGGACTGCCTGCTTCCCTAGTCCTGCTGTCCTCCTGCCAGCCAGCTGGGAGTCCCTGGAAGTTAGGAAAGACCACTTTGCTCTTCATTTTGTGGAGGCAAAAGACAGCGAGGATGTGGGACAAAGGCAGCTCAGTCCTGCCTAGTGATGACACCAGTGGAAATCGCCACGTGACGTTCATTGTCTTCTCTCAAGCTGTATCCAGACAGTAACAAAAGGAAGTGCCTCTGATTAGACTGTGAACTTGGCTTCCCCTACAGGAGGACTTGGCACTTGTGCCGACGAGGTGGGCCCTTTCCCACCATTTTGCAAAATAAAGCCCCTGAAACGAATTTTGTTCTCCTTCATCCCCTCCCCCTTTTCTCTGTTTCTTCCAGTTCATATGCAGGCTCTTCAGAAATTCAACCTTTTCTCCCCTTTTCCATTTGTGGGTACCCTCTTCACAAAAGCAGAGAAACCTAATTGTGGATACATCCATGACAAGCCAGAGCCACGTGGACAGTGTGAAAGGAACAGGGCGCAGGAAAGGACCAGTTTGAAGTGTCCTCTGAGGAAGGGAGCCCTGTGGAAAGGCCACGAGGCCAATCCTGACTTTATCCCTGGCCTTCAAGCTCCTGCATTCAGGAGTTTATAGCTGCTCACATAAAAACGGTCATTTGATTTCTGGTGCCATCTGGGCTCATTTTTGTTGCAGAAGCAGCATTTTCGTCTTCCAGAGGGTTCTGTGGTGTGGCCTCGGGACATGAGAAAAGCGGCATCACATCCTGTGTTGTGAGAAGTCAGCTCACAGGTGACCTGTGGGGCCACACTTGTTCATGACGTGGAGATCCTTTTATCGGGAAGGCGAAGCCAGAGCTCTGTCTTTCAGCGACGAGTTTCCTCCCTGTGTGTCACAAGGGACAAGGCGTTTGGGTTTCTTTCCTACATTATACTCCGTTCGTCTTAGATTGTCAGCCCTGGAAGGGTAAGGGCAGCCTTTGCCAGCCCTGAATTGAACTGTGGTGAGTAGAATCATGGTGAACGGTATTGTGGCAACGACGAAAATGTGCATTTTGCAAAGACCTGTCTAACTGAGTGTGAGAAGCGGATCAAGGGGGACGCTGAGCATGTGCGGTAGACCTGTGAGGAGACTGCCCCAGGAGGTGATAGCAAGGCGGGGCAGGGGCGGTGGCGATGGGGCCAGAGGATGGCGGCAGGAGCCGTTTCAGAGCCGGTCGCGTGGCAGGCTGACGGACGGGATACGAGGATGAGGGGTCATGTGGGTGACCTTTGGGCTTCTGGCTTGTGGTTGCTAGACAGTGCCGGCGTTCCACCAAACTGGGAACAGTGGGAGGGGACCTGGTTTGGGGACACCTAAGGATGGTGTGAGCTAAATGCCAGCGTGAAATAAGAGGGAGACAATTAGCCTAATTGAACTTGTCTATACTGCATGATATATTTTATTTCCCTTTAATACAAAAAAAATTGAACCTAACAAAAGAAAAAGAAAAATGTTCCTGATGTGACATACAAAAAAACAAACAAAAGCACGTAAACACAAACTTGATGGAATTAAGGTGACTCTGGTGGCATCGTGGATATTGTGTTGCGGAAGGACAGCCATGGGGGGACAGGGAGGCCTCCCAGAAGGCTTTGCAGTGGCCCCGGTGAGAGAATCAGAGATCCTCCTAGGAATAACAGGATAAAACGGGATGAACTGAAGAAGACTAATATTTTATACCAACATGTTAGAGTGGGCGATGGGGAGAGAGAAAATTGCTTAGATTTGGGTCAGGGGTGGGGAGACAATGAGTTCAGTTGGAGGCGTGCTAAGTTTTGTAGGTGTGTCAGATGCGCAAGGTGGCAGTTTGTGTCAGATGCTCAGGGCACACGTCAGGGCTGGACAGACACTGGGCAAGTCCTGTATCAACTGGTGATTCTGGAAGCCTTCGAGCTCTCTCCAAATAGGGAGAATGTATATCCACAGAAGAGAAAAAGTAGAGTTGAAACCATTGGGGAATACATTAAGTAACTAGAATATACCAGACAGTATGTTAAATTGTTTCCAGCAGCTACCTTATTTAACCCTCCAATACCTTTAGCGATTCCTTTTTTGCTACCCCCATTTGCCTGAAGAGTAATGGAGATTCCGAGAGGTTGGAATCTTGATCAGAGTCACACAGCTAATAAGTGGTAAGATCTGAGTTCAAACCTACATCTCATATTATCAAGTTTGATGTTACCGTGTTTCCTCGAAAATAAGACCTCGCCAGAGAAGAAGCCCCAGCATGGTTCCTCCAGGATGTGGAGGGCACGCACCCCTCACATGAGGGGTTTATGACCTGTTTCAGGGAGAAGGGTGCCTTTTCCACCAACTCCTTCAGCTTCAAATATTCAGTATGCCCAGGTGCCATATTTTGGCACCTAAAATCCTGCGAGGGCTTATTTTCCGGCTAGGTCTCATTTCCGGGGAAACAGGGTACTTGCCTATACCATGGCCTTTATGCGTCAGCATCTGCAGGGTAGAACCAACACGAGCGTTTAAGAGGATGACCACGGAAAGACGGTCTAGAGAGAAGGCTGGAGGAGGTGAAAGAGGCAGTAGAAGATTCAGGAGATGACAGATTTCTGAAGGGCGATATGAATGTGGTGACAGCGTGGGGACTAGTGACTTCTATAGAGCCGTTTCAGAACAGGCGGTGTGGACTGAGGCAGGAAGGAGGGTGAAGAAGTGAAATCCATGAACGGCGCTGCTGTGCTCTATCTAGATGGTGGTGAGGGGTAGGAGACAGCAGCCAGCGATGGGGGCGGGCCTCATGGCCACCTTGGGGGTTAGGGGCGTCCATGCATGAGAGAGCTGCCTGTGGAGCTGGCGTGAGAGCCCAGGCCCTTGGATCTCTAAGCAGCACCCACAGTGCAGCCTTGAACCACTGCGGTCGTGAGAGGTCACGGGTGTTTCACGAGTGTAGAGGGCAGTTGTGGGTGCAAGCTTGTTTGTGGGCTTTTAAATTGTAAGCAGTCTGCTGTGTGTTCAGGTGTTGATCCCTTGTGAGAAGAGGTCTCTGAAGGTTGTTTGAAGTCATCTGTGAGGATACACAGGCGCTTGGTTATTTTTTGAGCAAACATCGTCTAGCACATCCATGTGAGACCACATGGCATTTGTGATTATAGTTAGAAAATGACACCATGAATTAGTGCTTATCTAAAATGCCCTAACTTGGCTCATGGAGTTATTCTCATTCTTCTCAAGTACCTTGGGTTGAGTTTTCTGTCCTGTGTTTTGATTTCTACTGTTAATTTTGTTCGGAGATCATAAAAGAGCTGTTGGCTTCTCTCAAAGCCCATCACTTATTGGCTCGTTTTTATTTTTGAGAGATTCATTTGTTTCTTCAGGCTTTTAAAAAGCATTCACAACAGTAGCAACCATTTATTGAGGGGACTGGGGTTGTATCTAAATCTCACTATCTGAAACAGAATTCTAAAGTTCACTTCCAAAATTTTGATCTTTTAAAAACCGAGCAGCCATAGCATTTGCTGTCATTTTCTTTGGATGGACATTTTAAGTTGATTTTAGCATCTATGGTATTTGCCAGATGTTTCTTCTCCCTTCATGTGTCGAGGTGCGCTTTGGTTATTTCTCCACCTTTGTCTCCTTTGTGACTCAATGTTGCTGTCCCTGGGAGAATCACGGAGCTCTCAGACCATTCGGAAAGGGTGGGGAGAGGGGTCACCATGTGGACCTATCTTTGGTTATTGATTGATTAGTTTCAAAAACATTTAGCGGGGGCTGGGCAGGACTAGGGTGTAATCAATACCAGAGAGAAAAGTGTGTGGAGGTCCGTCATCCCTGGGCGATATGATTGTATTCATATATTCCGTATCATTTCTTACAGTTATTGCCAGTTTTCGAGGAACCGTCCCCTTCGGCCTGTCATTGGAAATTGGAGACACAGTTCAGATCCTGGAGAAGTGTGATGGTGAGTGGGCTGGTGGTGACTGTTGGAGGTTGTAGAAACAGCCTCTTTAACATGGGACACTCGTAAAGTTTGTAAATTCTGTCCATACCTCTGTTAACCTAGAATTTTTCCAGTAGTCACCAGTAGTGAACTATTGTATTTTTGACAAAACTTGTTGCTTTTGCATAGTCAGTGTTTGGCTTATGGGAAAGCATCTTTTGGTATTTTTAAGCTGATGTTTTCCTAATATTTTTTCCTTATACTCATTAGATGCCAACATAGAAAGCAGTTGAGACGACTGTGTTTGTGGGAGTACAGGACACAGTGCCAAACTCGAAAGCCTTTCTTAGAATCTCCAGGGTCTGGTAGATTCCCCAGAACAGGAGGGCCCCAGCAGAAAGGGCTTAGCCATGGTCGGTTGACCAGATGCCTTGGGGGAGGACTCCTGCCCAGGAGAACCCTGTTCTCATTCTGCAACCTTCTCCTCCCCACAACCCCCCAAATTTGGACTGAAATCATTTGCTGCATTTAAAATGTTGGTGTAATATATGAAATTGTATAATTAGTATTAATTCGCATAGCAGGTAACTCATTAAATCAGGATACCTAATACATTCTCAAATGTTTTTATTCCTGTCCCACAAAGCACCCTTAAACTTTAGTCCTTAAAAAGGTCCCAGAGGAAATGACAAATCCTGTTTTTTTGTTTTTTTTTTTATTAATAGAATGAACACATTTTAAAGTCCCATCAGTATATCCCAAAATATTCATTTTCCTCCCAACATGATGTCTTTGTTAGGAATTTATAATATGGTGACATCCTGTCATATCATGGTCATTACTGATTAAATTGTGTTCCCCTGAAGTAAGTTGTTACATTTAGTTAGAACCTGGCATTAAATGGTGGTGACACATGGGCATTTGTCCTGTCCACTGTAATTGATACTTTTAAACAGTTTCCTATGTCATTGCCAGTGCGTTTTATCTATTTCTTTTTTGTATACAAGTAAATATAAAATCTGTTTTGATTTGCTACATGAAAATGGGCTTCATAGCTAATGGGAGCTGTTTTGTAGTCTAAATACCTTTCTGTCTAGTATCACGGGACAGACCTTTCTATGTCATTTCTTCAATTCTCGAAGCGTGGTTTCTGTTAGCGTAATTATTTAAGAAGGGATGTATTTCTTGGGTATGTCTTTAAGGATCTAATAAACTAAGATATAGAAATTTCTGATTCTCAATTCATTCTGCTTCCTTCAGACTGATATTAACACTGTCAGCCATGGTATTTTATAGTCTATCCTTTTAAGAAAACTTAGGAACAAAAATATTTAAATGCAAAGCTCAAGTATTTCTTTTTAAAAATTCAGTTAATCAGAAACAGTTCAACTCAGTAGAACATTTGTTGCACGATGAAACAATTTCTTAATTTCTTGCCAATAAAATGGTTTCTATACTTGAAACTATAAGTTGAAAAGGATACATTTATAGGAGACTATATATTAACCATATATTGGGTTGTCGGAAAAGTCATGATGCTTTTTTGCAATGAAAAACATAGAAAAAATACGTCATGACTTTTTCAACAACCCAATATATGTATATACACACACTCTGTACTTGTTTTATATAAAAAATATGTGTTCCTTCTTAAGGATGTGCTGTAAAATTGGTTCAGAGCTGCTTGGAGGTTAACTAAGGTTAAGTAAGAGGCATGCTACAGATGATCCTAAAAATGATGGTGAGCTTGGTTGGTAGGAAATGCATTGTGCTGATGGAAAGGTGCCTGTTAACTCTCTTACTGATGAGACCTGGCTTCACTCTTCTTACGCTACTGGACTGACTCTAACCAAGATGGTGGCCTGAAGGACGTGCAAATTCACTGTATGACTCTTGGCCGAGCACTGTTCTTGGTGGTTGGGTCTGGGCTTTGTAGTCAAGCAAAGAGAATTTGGAAATATATGGACTCTTGTGTAGATTCCTAAATTCCCTGAGACATAGAGCAAAGAACAGATTGATTTGTCATCATTTCTTTTCTTTATAATATCACAATAGTTTATCTAAATATGACTGTGATTATTTCTCCACAGGCTGGTACAGAGGATTTGCCTTAAAAAACCCAAATATCAAGGTAAGAAAATATTACTTCTAACCATAAATATGGGATTTAAAAATATTATTTTACTTTATCTCATTATACAATAGGAATTATAGTTGGGACTCTTAGTTGAAATGCCAATACAGATTTTCATAATTTTGGAAATTCCTTTGAACTTGGATTATAGTTAAGATACGCTACTCAAATAATAATCCTATGTAGCTCTTGAAATTTGTACTGAGAAGACCTTAGTAAGCTCATTATATGTAAACAAAATCTTTTTGAAGTGTTAGTTTCACAGAGGGTGAAATTAAAATTCAGGCAGGGGAAATATATATTGCAAAGTAAATATTGAATAGAGATATTGAATCTTTAAGTTTTCTGTGATATCATTTGTAAAATATTGGTGTGGGGAAACAAGTTTATCTGAGCACCATGTTGAGAGTCTGTTTGGGTGTGGGCAGCTGAAACATGGGAAAACCATGTTATAAAGTGCTCATCTTTCATACCATTCCAGACAGAATCTAAGACTCATTATCCTTTATCTATTTATATAAATCTTCAGGAATTACAGTAGGAAGTAGTATGATTTCTGTTTTACCTTTCACTTGTCTAGTTTATGATTTTGCCACCAATCCTTACTAATATCTATGTTTTTCTGCTTTATTCTAATCTCCCAAGTTTTCACCCATATTCCCCACATTCTCTAATATTTTTTTGTGTGTCTCATGTTCACTTTTTGGTTGAATTCTGCTTTATTAGTATTTTAGATATGAAATTATATAATTCTCATTCTCAAAGTATAATGTAAAAAAATGTAAACTCCTTTGCCTGACTTTATGCCTTTTCTCCCTTTTCTGGATCATACAACTGTGTTTAACCACTTTATTTCATTTACAGTAAAACCTTGGATTGCGAGTAACATGGTTTGCGAGTGTTCCACAAGACGAGCAAACATTTCTAATACATTTTGTCTTGGTAAATGAGTGATGTCTTGCAATATGAGTAGTTTGTTTCTGGAACGAATTATGCTCGCAAACCAAGGTATTACTGTATTTTAGGTCATTCTAAAGGAGAGCTTGAGGGAGCAAAGAGTATATATACAACTTGAATTTTTCAGTTGTATGAGGGCTAATACAACTTGAGCTCTCATTTAAAGTTATTTTTTGACATCTGCTAGAGACATGCAAATATAGCTTCAGTATTTCATTATCCATTTAGAACATGTTTTAGAAAAAATCCATTATGACTTCTGTTATTTCTGTCACTCTTCTGATCTCAAATTCTGACATTTTCTTATGTTAATCTTACCATATTGAGGCAAATTTAAATTTTGAGGGAAAAAAGCATTTTTTAACCTATATGCCTATTTACTGTTTTTTAACCTATATGCTTATATAACTGTATATACTGTTGTATATACAGAATTTGCTTGTTAATTTTTGTGTTCTCCTTGGAGCCACAGTAGAGATAATGTATTCAAATGGCATGTGTTTCCCTAACTATTTAATTGAATTTGTCATTTGATTATACATCAAAAATCATTCAGAGGATATTGTCATTTAACGGACAATAAATTTGATGCTCTTTTTTTTTTCTTCTTTTTTTTTATGTCGCTTCTTTCCATTTCCCATTCAGAACAAAGGAACAATTTCCTTGTCCTGTCTTTTCCGTCGCAATAAAAAGCTTTAAGCCAGCATGGCTTCTTTTGTTTAATTTTTGTTGCATCCGAATGGCAGCCTGGTGATTAATTGCTGCTATGTTTTCATGAAAAACCTTCCATACCACATAATAATATACATGCTGCCTCCAAGTTCCTTTAGTGTATATGTTTAAATACACACATGAGTGTTTTGGAGAGAAGAGAAAGAATAACCAAAAACAAACAGCACAACCTTCTTTCAAAACTATGCAATATTTAAAAAAATTCTTATTCAGTATAACATGCTTTCTTTGCAGAATTCCTGAACGTTTTTAAAATTTCTGTTTTATACAAATATATTTTTGAGTGAGATTTGATTTTTTTTCTTATACTTAGAGAGTCTCTACATTTGTAAACTAGTGAATAGTAGAAAATAAAAGGAATGAATCCAAGCTCTAATAACAGATTTTAGCCTAAAGACTATGATAGAGATGTAGTTTCCCCCATCGCTGGTATTGCTGTGGTTGTGATGGCTGTTTTGTACGTGTGACTTGTGAAACCAACCCTGTCTTAACAGCCCCATAACCATCTTGTTTTCTCTTCCAGGGAATCTTTCCTTCCAGCTACGTTCACTTGAAAAATGCCTTTGTAAAGAACAAAGGGTAAGAAATGAGTTTTCTTAATAGTTGGAGGATTTTCACAGAACCATTGCTTATGTTGAAATTTGAAAGGCTTAGTCGTAATTGGCTTGAAAAATGAATGATAGCAGAGTGTGCCATTGTCTGTGCTGTTTGATAAAGATAGATTACACCAGACAGCTGGTGGAGAACACGAAGAGCCACGTCTGTTTGCTGGGGGACAGCAGGACCTAGGACCTGGCGGCTTCCCGCTGTCTGCAGGTCATGGAGTCAGCCTGCTCTTCTACAGAAGGAGCTGGCTTTTTAGGGTGACCTGCTATGTAGGGAAGCGTGGCAGCCAGGCCCATCGAATGCTGCGTCATGTCTCCAGCTCCAGGAATTTCCTCGATTCACCACTGATTCTAAGCAGCTAAGTCTCGCTGTCATTCTGGTTGGAGATGAGACCATATCCTTGTGTGACCATTTCACAAAGCCATTATTAGACTTCAGGGAACATCAGATCTGTGGGTTTTTTTTCAGTTGAGCCCGTTGATCACCTAGGATTTCTCGTACATTTGAAAAGAATTTCCAGTCTGTTTTCAAGAGGACCGGAAGCAGCTGTTAGGATCACAGATCATTCAAATAATATATCACAGGATAAAGCTGTGGAACTTGCTTATTTAAGTGGTGAACATGAGCAGATCCATACATGTGGGCCACAGATTGGGAACCTAACATTTGCTGCCAATGTCACAAGGAATATACATTAGCCCATTGAATATTTTTTATTTTATGACAGGCAGAATACAGGTTCAGCCATAAAGATGACATTTTCCCTCAAATAGCAAAACAATAGCCATTTATTTGAATTATGGAAGCACATTTTAAAGCATAGTAAAAGCTATCTTCAAACTTGAGTTTTACCAAAAAAATTCCAAGGATGCTATTCCAATGGATGATTCTCCTATCCACGCTCTATAAAGGAGAGTATTAAATCTTCGTCAGTGAAATAACTTCTTCAGGTTTCTGAGATTCTGTGGTATAAATACTTTGAGTGTCCCCTATATGATAAAACTTGAGTCTAGGAGGTTCTTGTACTATATGTCTTATCAGCTACTTTAAGCAATGTTATTTTGAGTAGTAGTAGTACTAGAGATAGTAATCACTTAAAACAGTAGTTTAAAAACATACTAATTCTAATGGTAGTAATTCCCACTGCTACTACTCTTATTAAACGTGTGCCCTTCAGAAATGTGTGTAGCGATAATCCATCTGAGGTGGGTCAGGCAGAGGGATTGGTGCCTCTGGGGTTCTCCCACCAGGCAGGTTTGATACCCGCCAGCGCTCCTCAAGTAACCGAGTGGACTTTCCAGAAAACACTAGCCACAGGCCGACTCTTGCTTCTGACCTTTCTGCCCTAGTTTCCATGGGCAGGTGCCATGCAAACCCCAAGGTGCCCACCTGGTCCCTTCGCGTGTCCGCCTGGGCACAACTGTGCAACCAGCCCTCTGCTGCTGTTGCCCCTCAACTCTTCCCGAGCACAGGGCCACCCAGTTCCATCTTACCCACTGACCAAGGAAGAGAAAAGAGAGATCCTGGCAGAGATGATGACCTTCACCCAGTCAGTCCTACCTCTCAAAGCAGATTGGGGTGGGACATCGTTCTAATTAAAACTAAGTACCTTCTTTTAGTTATTTCTTTGTCCCAGTTCATACTTGTTTCATACTGGGCGGCCTTCCCTGAGCCCCGAGGAAGACTAAATGTGCATAAAGGCTGACTCAAAATTTGGTTAAGGTTAAGACTTGGTGGTAGGTTTTCCACCTGACAAAGGGCACGGTGCGGTTTATATAATACAATAGAACTTTGGGGGTAGAACCAAAATTTATTTTCTAAAAACAAAAGAATTGTGGGACTCGAGACCTTAGATTCTAAGACTGTTAACTGGAAGCAAAACTTTAGCCTGGGAACATTTGAGAACCAGTATTACCAGGTGATTGCTTTCTCAGAGAGAAGCCTCTTGAGATTTTGATGTTACCTGGCTTGTTTTAAGTGGATTAGCAGCCTGATGGCCCATCAGGACGAAATAGCTGTAAAGTACATCTCAGAATAACTGAACAGAATATAATTTCAGGGCAACTACTTAAGACAGTTGATTTTGATTTTCATATAATTAAGAGGAAACAGCTGTCTCCCCTGAAATGGCAATTTTGTGCTTCTTGAAAATGTACGTTTTGGCTGAACAAACCCAAATCAGCTTCCCACAGACTGAACTGCCTTTATGATCTTCCCTGGGCCTTCAGAGGAGTGTAGGGCTGATGGGGGTCCTTAAATTAAATTATGGTTTGTGAGCATCGAGGCCACTTCTGTATTGTTTGATTCCTGCTGAGGTCATGTCGCTTTTAAATGTTAAGTTGGTTATGCGGTTTTTCTGGAAATTTGTTGTTCCCTCCTGGACCTTGCGTCTGATCACTTTATAATCTCTGTCTTCAAATAGTCGTCGTTGAAACTGCTACAGCTGCTTCAAGAGCAAAATGCACTGTTGTTTGAAAATGTCATGTGTAGGTTTGATAAAAGCTGTAGATTTTCCAGTTCGTATATTATTGTTTACTTTTATTTCTAGTTTTACATGTTCAGCTGCATTTAAGCTCTAGAAAGAAGGAAAACAATTCACAGGGCAAGTGTTTAAGCAGCAGCATGAAATGAGGAGATGAGGCTTTCTCTATCGGTGAGGAAATCGAGGCAAAATCTTAAGTTCCCGCTCTTGCTGTCAAGACGACGTTACAAAAGACAGTTACACACTCTTTGGACATAATATCGGAAAGGAACTGCAGAGCGGTTATTAACCTCATGCTCAGAAGTCATTTTCTCTTGTTCATCTAGACAACCTGATTCAGCGTCTGATACGTGTGTGCTGTTACCTTCTACATAGTAGACGTTATTCTTGAGAAAAAATACTCAAATGAAGAAAATAATTTCCATCAATGTAGTCAGTAGCATTCTTTTGAGAAACAGTAGTAAGAGCCACTTAACCATTTTCACCTCCATAAAAACTGAAAGAATTTGGAAAAAGAAATTTGGTATGAAGAGAAGGTTATCATATGTCAAAGCCCGGATACAGAGGACAAATGAAGTCTTGAACTTTTCTCTCCTTCTGTATCTTCTCACGAGTAGGACCACCGTACACGCCTCACTAGCTGTTAGGATGAATGTTTTCCAAGTATAATTTCTGATTTATAGAGAAGAAAACGGAAGAATGTATCACCCCAGTCAGAGAGAGGAACATTTTACAATGGATATTCAAATATTGCTGCTGCCTTCAGCCTTTAATAAGTTCTATAATGCGTGATAACACTTCTCATAGTTAATCCGAATCATTTTTCACAGCCCTGTGTACAAACAATAGAAATGAAGTGGTAATGAGATAGAGTACCTGGTGTCTCGTTCTCCATTACACGGAGTTGATTTGGATGTTTGCAGGCATCCTATTGTGATCATTGAACCAAGCCCTCTCACTCCCTTTGAGTTCCGTGGTTGTGGGGCTTAGAAGGCAAATGCCATCTCCCAGTTTATGGAAGCTTGTGACCTCAGGTCACAGATGGGAGCTTTGGGTCTTGGAGAGGTTCCGTGAGCTGCTGTTCCTGGTCCCTCTGTGGCTGGAGCAGAACTGCTCTGTCACTGGTGCTTTTCCACCGCACTCCTCAGACTCGATCTGGGTAATGTGGCTGGTCATTTTGGGGATTGTACGGCCATAACCCACATGGCATTCCTCACGCCAGCTTATAATCAGACCCTGGTTACTGTCTGCGGAACCAAAAAGAGCGAGGCGGCTTCCTTTCTTAGTTTATCTTTTAGAGCATTGAAAAGAAAATGGTTGTCCATGATATTTGCATACATGTGTGGTTTTTCTTTTTAATTTCACAGACAATTTGAAATGGTTATTCCCACTGAAGACTCGGTTATCACAGAAATGACATCAACACTAAGAGACTGGGGAACCATGTGGAAACAACTCTATGTGGTAAGTCACGTTTTAATGGCATTGTTTTTTGGATAGAGAACTATTTTAAGAAATATCTGAACAAGACGAAGCATTGACTAGTGCTATTCGGGCCTCTGCTGTAAGTCCCTGGTGCTCCTCTGGGAATCACGGATAAGTGCAGAAAAGGGCCGTCTTCCTGTACGCCCTGTGTCCACTGAGCGTGGGTGACATAAATTCCTTTTCACTGCCGTAGGAGTAGAAGAGATCACTTTACTGCCACCTCACCAAATAGGACGGCGTACATGGAACTAGTGTTAAGCTTTCTGAAAATTTTTAACTTTAAGGGAGAAATAAACTTATTTTCAATACAATTTTCACTTTGGTGGTTATTTTATTCTAATTTTTTATACATGTTCAAGCATACTGAAAATGATAGACTACTTCCCAGAATCAATGAGAACATTCTAAAAATATAATAAAAAGCATTTCTTGAATAAACAAAAGGGGGGATCAATGTTTGGGGGGTATGTATACGTGTACTTATTTACTTATAACTGATTACATTTGTTGGGAGCCTACTGTGTGGGAAGCACTCTATGTGCAGTATTTCCTTTAATCCTTAGAACCACAGAAGAAAATAATGACCGTGATTATAATCCCAGCTTGCCGATGAGGAAACTGAGGCAGAGAGTGAAGCCCTTGCTCTAGGTCAAGTCATTGGAGAGTGGCTGAGCCCAGTGCCCGCTCTCTGAACCACTGTATCTGCAGAAATCTGGGAGTGGTCAAGTTCGGGGGAGAGGAAAATTCTTATTTTCAAAGAAATGACTAGAGCAGCTTAATTGTTTGAAGGGATGCATTCAAAATACAAAGGTGTTTTTTATCCTGACAAAATGATTGGAAAAGCCTGTCAAAGAGTTAGTCCAAATTAAGTGAGGGACATGGGCGCAGAATGACAGTGTTTATTGTTCAGTAAATATAAAATGCAATAGGATACTTCACTAAGCAAGAGAATGTTAGACAGTCACTACTAAAAACCCTGTTGAGTTTGGATGAATCTGGCCAGGCCCTGCTGGGGCCTGGTGGCTTTAGGGCTCAGTGGTGGAGCCCACAGGACAATCTGAAATGCAACGCCAGAGCCTGAGCTCCGCCTGGATGAGATGAATGCCAAGTCGAGATAACCGACCTCAGGGGCTCTGCGCTGGAAGATGACAGAGGAAATGCAGGGCCCTTTTGAGATTTAAAAGAAAAAAAAAAGGTTGGAAAGACTATAAAATCCAAGTATTACTTAAAATAACATTGTGCAGGACACTAACGTGGAAAATGAAGCTATTGGAAATGTTCAAATTCCTGCCTCCTGAATATCCACCACAAGAGCTGTAAAAACAGTGCCGGTGTCCGCTTTGCCATCAGTTGAGCTGGAGCACCAGCCCACTTCCTTTTATGTGGCTGCTTGTGGGGAACAAAGTCGAATTTCCTCTTGATTCTGCCTTATCTCACTATTTTTACCAGCTTTTGAGGTACCAAGCATCTATTTTGGGGACATACTAGATTGCCTTGAAAATGTGTTACAGCTCTAGGACTAGCCTCCTCATTGCCTCGTCTCCTGAGAAATGGAGACAGAGTAACTTAAGGGATTCCCTGGATACGGAACGGTAGTCAGTTATACTGGGGACAAATACAAAGTTTACCCTGGACATGGCAGATTTTCAGCCTTGAGAGTGAGGCTGACTTGGCTATGTCGGACCTTTTGGGTTCTCTCTTCCTGATGTGAATGTTTTGTGGAAAGTGTGTCGGTTCAAGTTCATCACCCTTGAGTGTAT